AGACGACCTCGAGCGGCGGGTCCGGGTAGGCGCTGAGGACGCGCGAGAAGACGCGGTGGAAGTTGGTGAGGTCGGCGGCGCCGGGGGCCGGGGCGGCGGAGACGGCGGCGAGGAAGCCCGAGGCGGAGTCGCGGAGGAGTGACTCGAGGCTGGGGAAGCATAGGGCGGCGCCCATGGAGGGGAAGTCCACCACGATGGAGCCGGCGGCCATGGCGCGGCGGGGGCCGAGGCGGATTGGTTCGAATCGGGGCGGGAGTGACGAAACCCTAACCCTAGGCTCGACCCGAGAGGAGTGGGGTTTCGGGGAGGTCGAGGGGAGGGGAGAGGGGTTTGGGTTCAAAATGTCTGGGTGGGGTGGGGTGGGGCTCGGGAGTTGTGGCCGTGGGTGGTTTTTGAAGACGGGAGAGGCGGAAGGGGTGACACTGACCAATGGAGCCACATGGTCAGTCAGCGGGCGGGAGAATGGCTTTGTTGCATTGGATTGGGCTTGAGCTGGTTCTGTGGTCCAGTTTAAAAATGGGCTAATCTAAATTCAAAAAAAAAAGGGCTAATCTATGACCATTGAATAGGGTGACAAGGTGAGTCGGGCCTGGGTTGGGTTCTAAAGAAAATCTAAGCAAAATACTCCCTCTGTCTCGTTAAGTTTGTCGCTGAAGCACCCGGCTGTTGTCCCACCGAGATTGTCGTTCTAGCTAACAAGGGGCCCACACCTAGGAAAGCAAAGCAACAGAGACCCAGCTACTTTTCACTGCTTGCCGATTTGTGCCCATTTGTTTAATCGGTGAATACTACTGTACTAGTGTCGTGGCTAGTTTTGATATGGTGAATGTATCTGTAGCCTTGACATGATGTAAGCATTTAATGAAGGCATGTTGCAGCACAAAACTTGGAATCTATCGAACACATACAATTTGCTAGCCTTTCTTCTCTCGTCTTGGTATGCACGCCCATTCCTTCAGCGACAAACTTAACGGGACGGAGGGAGTACGGTCTGTTAGCGAATCGGAAAAATGCTAAGGTCATCTGCACCGGGATTCTTCCGGTCCGACCGGTCGGTAGCGTGTGTTGTGCCGACCAATGACGGTGATGGGAGAGAGCCTGAGCGAACATGGCCCAGTTTGAATTCGAACGAACGCGGTCCAGTTGAGTTCGGAGCGAGCAGCGGCCACACAACGCTCACTAGGCATGCCAGATAGAATACGTTTCTTTTTTCTCTCTCTTTCCTCGCTACTATTTCTTTTTTCGGTTTCTTCTGTCTTTTGTTTTGTGTGGTCTTCTATTATTCTTTTCATTTTAATTTCCTTTTTTATTTTTATGTGAAGTTTTATTTCAAATTTTCATTTTGTTTATTTTTATGTTTTTTTAATAATTAGTTATTTTACATATGATGTTTGTGAAGTATACATATAGTGTTTTATGATGTGTTTCAGATGTTCTCCTAGTATAAGTGATTATATTTAAATATTCATATAGCACTTGTGAGATGCTCTGTGATATGTTTTTAGGTTGTTCAAGTAATATCCATGTGATGTTCTTTTTATTTTCCTCTATTACATTTTTCTTTTCATTATTTCTGTTTCTCCATATTCTTTGGTGTTCACGTAAATGTGATGTTCTATAGTATATTGTGATGATCACTTAGTATAAATGGAATGTTCCACGATTATTTTTGAGTATTCATGTAGTACTCATAAGATATGTATATTTTAGGTTGTTTTAGTAGTGTCCAAGTGATATTTAATGTGTTTTTTATTACATTCTTTTTATGCTTTGATCTATATATATTATATATTTTTTCTTTCACCTATTTGCATTTCATTACTATTTTCTTTTTATTTCATTTTTTCTTTTGTTTCTTATTTTATTTCTACTGTTAAATGGTTTCTTTTTTTCTTTGTCTTCTTTTTTTCCTTATTTGTTTTTTCTACTATGTAGTTTTTATTCTTTTAATCCTATATTTTCGTGAGACACATATGACGTAAGTGTAATGTACATGGGATGTTCTATGATATGTTTTTGAATGTTCACATATTAAAAGATGTTCCATGATTATCTTTGAATATTCACATAGTACTTGTGAAATGTTCTATGATAAATTTTATGTTGTTTAAGTAATATCCACATGATGTTCTTTTCTTATTCTCTTATGTTTCATGTTTTTCTTTTTACTATTTCTGTTTCACGTATGTCTTGTTGTGATGTTCACATAGTACATATGTGATATATTTATGATGTCTTTTATGATGTTCACGTAGTATAAATGAGGTATTCCACATTATCTTTGAGCATTCACGTACTATTCATGCGATGTTCTATGGTATATTTTTGTTATTCTAGTAGTATCCATGTGACATTTTATGTGTTTTTATTATGTTATTTTTTGTATGTTGTTCCATATATTATATTTCATTTTCCCTTCCACTTATTTACATTGATTGTTATTTTCTTTCTTTCTTTCTTTCTTTCGCATTATCATATTTTATTTTCCCTGTTACATAACTTTTTTCAACGTCTTCTCGTTTTTTCTTGTTTGTTTTTTGCTTTCATATAATTTTTTTGCCTACAATATTATTCTTGTGAGGTGAAATACTTTACATTAGAGTTAAATGCTTCGATTGGTTTAATAATAAAATATTTTATAGTTAACATAAATATCTATTTGGTGCAGTGGTAGGCGAATAATTTTGCTAAATCATAGTTCGTGTGTTCGAGCTCTAACTCACATTATATTTTGCTTTCTCATATTTTATATTTCCTTTACTCGAGAAAGCAGTGCAAGCACGAGGAACAACATAGAAGCGGGCCCATGTGTGCGAAAGGACAGAAAACCTGGTCGGCCCTACTACGTGCCGACCTGGTCGATCTATAACATGACCGTTTGCACAAAGGTGTTGCCACCCACTATTAGGTGGCAAAATATACGGTGGAAACCACCTTCTGGGTGGAAACATGAAAACCAATTCAAAACATGTACTTTGGGTATTTATTTTTTTTTTTGAAACTTGACACATCCATAGTACATACAAGTATGTACTCATACAAAAAAGTCAAGATGCAAACTCAAACTAGAAAAAATCATACGAAAATGACAAATATGAGGTTCACGTGGACTAAAAGACGCACATGAACCTAAAATAGTTTCATATGAATTTTCAACTGCGTGGTTGAATTCTAACTTTTGCACGTGAGTACGTATTAGTATGCACTAAGGATGTGCCAAGTTTCAAAATTTCTTAAACGACCGAAATACATTTGTTACAATATATTTTGATAACATATTTATTTACCTTTCTCTAGCATCAAACAAGAATACTATAGATATTTTTTATGAGCTTTTCTTAAAGTTTTAGGGACAAACCTCTGTGTTACTTTGGGATAAACCCAAACATTCTTCCCCTGTCTCATTTTTATGTTTTCTTTTGAGACTCGCCATCTTTTTCAAGAGACTAGTGATGGTACAGTGAAGGCAAAGGTTATTGGCATACGCGCTATAGGGAAGCTTCCGAATAAGATAAGGGTCCCAACTCCCAAAATCACTTATAGATCACTACAAGAAGTCCAACCTTGCTTGAGTTCCCAATAAGAGGCTCGTGAATTAGGGGGAGATTGGAGGCTCATATGGATGCAGTTTGGATGCATCAAGCAGACCTCGACCCCAATGGGGCCTTACCTCTCCCTGCCATCGGTTCCTTTTGTTTTGCAATGAACACCCCAAACATCCACTGCAAAATCAAGCTTCGCTTCACTTGTTTCCTACCCCACCGATCACCACAGACCACTTGAGGCCAGATTGCAATCCGAGACCACGAAGAGAAGGTTTCCTACCCCCACCGATCACCCTTTGAGGCCAGATTGCAATCTCAGTCTCAGACCGCGAAGTTTCTCTGCCACCTTTGAGGCCAGATTGCAATCTCAGACCACGAAGTTCCTCTGCCACAACTCTTGTTCGATCTAGACCAGGTTTCCCACTGACGCCTCAATTCGAACCCTAATCCTACATGAGCGGTTGCCTGGAGAAAATGAGGACAACACAAACCAGAGCTGGTCGTAGAATTCCTCTATTAAAACTAAACAAGTTTACTTATGACAAAACTAAATTGACTTATAATTTGAAATGATAGAGTTAGATGATACATCGACCTATCTGTTCCAAGCAGTGTCGCCACAATATATGGCATGCAGGAATTGATTTGTCTTAGACAAATCGAAAGCTTCCAACACGCTAAATAAAAATGAAGGTAAACTAGACGGTAAGGTGGCTTAATGCTAAGCAAACGAGTACCCCTATCTCGCGTCCTTGAAAAAGAAAAGCAAAATGGGCACTAACCAACTTAGGCTCCAGTCCAAGATAAACCTGTGACGAAATGGTATAACAAAGCTGACAAGGACATGTTAACATGTTGCGCCTGCTAAAAGAATATACTTAATAATAACTAAACAATAGTAGACCCACTTCCGGCTATTTTAAAATGTACATACAATAAAATGACACAGTATATTACCTATTCTAGGGTTCGCATTAAACATGACGAAGGTCCCGGCGTTCCTCAAAAATAAGGTTCCCCACAAGAAAAAAAAAAGGTCGATCTGTATGTAAGATAAAATTATCGAAAGCTTCAACAGCCACCCTCTGAAGTTACAAACCCATGCCCAACATGAATACAACGGTGGATCATCGTCATCCCCTTAACATCTACTACAGATGCCCAAATGTTGTCAAACTAGGACCTTATCTTTAAATCTAAATGAACCTATGGGGGAAAGACAAGCCTTTCCCCACAAAAAAAATTAATCAGAATCAAAGCTGCTTCCCGGGAATGATCGAGTCACTTCCTCTTGGACTCTGGACAGCTCTATATGGCACCGAAAAGAACTGCATCCGACTGGCACAAGATACACCATCTCCAGCAACTCCTGGCTTCAATCCACCAGGGGCTAAACGTGTCTTTCTCACCGGGAGCAACCACCAAAAAAACTGTCGCTCTGTTCATTTCGCTTGTTTATGCGTAGTACATGTACAAGCTATTGGCTGCAGCACACGCAATTAGGTTTTCAGATGGGTGCCAAGCTAAATGGAGCAACTTTGTGCTCAGATCATAGGAATTTCCATTGACATCTATTCCAGTGCTTTCTCCACCTGCATAAGGTTTACAATCTTAGTAGCTGCATTGAAAATTCTTTTATAGCGTAACATGCCAAAGCTTAAAGCTAACCTCGTCTAACTGCCCTTGTCAGAGTACTTAGGGATCTGGTAGCTCTAGTGGGATTCTGGAGCTGCCTCCTGTTCACAAGAAAAGTTAACACAGATATGATTAGTTCCAACTTCCAAGCTACTATATTTGAGTGACAAACACTCATGTATGCTACTCAAACAATTTGGTGTATGGAAATCAATTTACATGAAGAAACAAGACATGCTTAAAGGTCAAATTGTTTGCTTCCAACATTTTTCTTTAAAAAGTAGCATTACCTTGTAGGGTTTCGGGTTGCTTCAAGTGTTGTTGCCTCACTGCTACCAGTACCGCAACCAAACACGCGGAAAATGTTGCTGAAGATGATAAATAGCTAGTTAGTTCCTGTTAATGAGGCCAAGCTGTATTACTAAACAAGCATATGAGACTACCTGTAGGAACCAGTTGCTACTCTTAATCCATCACCACTTTGACAACACTCAAATTTGTCGAAAATTGAGTCATTTTCATATAAATCACATAACTGCAGTTTCAAGCAACACATGGATCAGGTTTGCGCCAGTGAAAATATGTGCTATTCATTGTCCACAAAGAACCACAAATCATTCATCTTAACATGGAAGAAATTACCTTAGGCCTTAGATACTCATGAACCTGGAATGTTGCAACTGGACCAGAATTCATCTTAACATCCCAAAGCTGTAATAATAGACAAAGTATAATATTGGAAAAACACATGAAACAAATTTTACAGTGATAATTTGTTTGTTTCTGGAGAAAGATAGCAATAGTATAATGTGGCTAATGGCATTACAAGCAATACACATGAAATAATCTATCCAAGGCAAATATGTACAAGTGTTCATCTCAAGCAGACCCAGAAACAAAGGGTGCGTTTGGTAGGGATCCGGATTCTCCTAGAAATGTTTCAGTTCCAGATTCTCTCGAAGCGTTTCTCTACTGAATCAGAATAACTTTGTGGAACCGTTTGGCTAGCTCGTTGGATTCTTGAAACTAGAACTAGAATCAAGCCAAACCACGTTTTGGGTCTTTCTCTAGACTAGTACAAAAACAAGAATCGGTTCCAAGTGATTCTCCTAAAACGCTTCTCTTTGTGGCATTTGGCAGCGATTCTAGTGATTCTACCGAGAATCTGAAACGTTTCATGAAAGCATACACAATGAGTGAAAGATCTCCACCTTAAATACGTTAATCAGATTATATTTTCCATAGATTATTGAAAAAACGGGAACCGTGGTAAAAAACAACAAAGGGTCTCATCTTTTTGCCATGTCAGCTGCAAATTATTTCTATTTAAAGTATCAGAAGTTTCATGTACAGACCTTCAGAGTCATGTAGTCACGACTGAGAATATGTCTCCCATCCTTCGAAAACTTTATGTCCGAAATTGAAGCTATAATCTCTGTGAAAAATGATCTTGAACCTGGGGCCTCATGCTGCTCAAAGCTACAAGAAGACATGAACAGGTATAAAAATATTACAAGGAAACCTTTTTAGGATAATTGATAAGGGCAGTATCCACCTGATATTCTCCAAGTATATTGAACATAGGAAATAAAAAGTGTAAAATAAAACCTCACATTTGGGAATGAGTGTCGCAAAGGGCTGATTGCCGCAGATCAACAAGTCGAATGGAGCCCTTAGAGCTACTATACGCCAATGTATTGCAATGAGTAGGATGGAATTCAGCAGATGTTATCACCTCTGCATGTCATAGAACAAAGGCATAACTATCAGCAGCTAACAACAAAGATGCCACCAGTAGAAATTAAGAGAATATGTGATAAAAACAATAAAGGAAAGCTATAATAGACCTGAAACCCCATGTTTGAACCAACTTTATTCGTTCATTCATGACACAACCATTTCAACAAACAAAGAAATAACTTAGTTCAACAATATGTTCTTCACAAGCAAGGAAATGGGAAGTGTCCTGAGTTTACAAGCTAGGCAGGTAGGTCGCACCTAGCCAGCTTGGGTTCATTTCCTAGCCTTTTCTAGGATGCAGCCAGCTGGATGCCTCTCCCCCTGAACTAGAGCCTCTCTTTATTTGGGAGCAAGAAAATAATGTTGTCATCATATGAAAAGACGTACAAACATGTGCTGTGCACATAAAATTTCAGTCAGATTTGGTGAAGTACAAGTCACACTGCTCGCCGATAAGATAAAAAATACAGAAATCAAGTATATTTTCTTATTTCACAACTATGACCTATCACACACATAATCAGCACAGTTAAGAAATAGTTTGTAGGTTTGGAAGTTATACCAGTGAGATCTTCCATGTTTGTAGGCTTAACATCAATAATATTGAAACTTTGATTGCTGATTTCCAAATTCCAGAGATTTATCCGCAAATCATCAGCTGATATAAATGTCTCACCATCACTGTGGAAATAAAGATTACAAAGATTAAATATCACTACCCAAAATATAAAATGGCAGAGGTTAAGCTACAATACATGAGGTGCAAATCAGCAACATAAAACTAGCTAATTATAAAAATGTGGGAGATAAGGTGATCAATTAATAATATAGTCAGAATAATGTGGCAAATCAGCAACATCAGCTGATATAACATGCAGTTCAAGCACAAAAAAAATATAAACACAGAATTTTCAGAAGACAGAAAAATGTGGTACACCTAATTAAAATATGAGTAGTTGAGTACTCTTAAAATATCATGTGGGGAGTGACTTAATTTTCCTAAAAATAAATTGTACAAAATATACACTATATTATCACATTTGCCATTGCTTGGCATTACGATCGCAGCGGTATTTTCTCTGTGAAATCAGTTTACCATGTCCTGGATGATGAAAAGAACAGGGTCAGAACTCGCCAAGGGGGGCAGTGTAGCTCGACCTGCTCTGCTAACAATAAAGGTACTGTCTGGCGACAATTATGGAGACTACCGTGCCCTCCCAAGATTAAACACTTTATGTGGCGATTAGCGAGAAATAGCCTACCCCTTAAAATGAATATCCAGCGAGAGGAATGAAACTTGATACTAGGTGCCCGGTTTGCTATCGGCTGGATGAAGATGGTGGCCATTGTTTTCTCAAATGCAAGTTTGTTAGGCGGTGTTGGTTGGATCTCCAACTTGAGCCAATTCGCCAGTCACTGCTATCAAAAGCCTCGGCTTGGGATGTGCTGAAAGAAGTGTTGCTTCTTGAGCAGGAGGTGTGTTTAAAAATTGTGATTCTTCTTTGGAAATGGTGGACTGTCCAAAATAAGATGAACAAAGGAGAGCATGGGTTATCAAGAGATGAAGTCACATGTGCAGTTTTGAATCTAATGTGTGATCTTGAGAATGGAAAATGCAGGTGAACCCAGGAGTGGGAAATAGAGGACAACAGGGCTGGAGGGCTCCACCACCGGGCAAGCTTAAGATAAATACTGATGGTGCTTTCATTAAGGAGACATTGAGTGGCGGGGGTTTCATCATCAGAGATCATCTTGGAGATGTTGTGGCAGCGGGAGCAGGGAATCTTGCAGCGGTACCTGATGTACTAATGACCGAAGCTGTGGCTTGCAACAAAGCTCTCTTGTCCACAACTGACCTTGGAATATCTCGTATCCAAATTGAAGTTGATTCTTCAGTCTTGAAGCAAGCAATTACATCATCGGCCATGGACCTAGCAGCTTGTGGTATGTTGATTAGTGATATAAGGGGGCTGCTACGTGATCAATTTGTTTTTGGCGATGTCCTCTTAATTACTAGAAATTGTAATGCCGTAGCGCATAATCTAGCTAGATTGGGGATGAGTTGGGACCCGGGTACGTCATGTGTTTGGACGAACCACCTCCCAGAATTTGTAAGATGTTTGGTGTCTCACGAGTTTGTCGAGACTATGAGTTCAATATCAGGGCCATAGAGCCACCCCTTTGATTTCAAAAAAAAAAAAGAGTAATAAAGGTTTTCACTACACAATTTCAACTAGCAAGTAGCAACTATGAGTACTAGTTGAGGGATATCAGAACACCAAGGCACATACCACTTTGCTTAAATGATCACCCTAAACCAAAGAGACCTTAAGGGATGCTCAAAACTTTGGTTTGGCACTGGGAGTGCAAACAATCTACTCATTCTGTGGGGTCAAGATTCAGCATATATGTAGTTAAAAATTTACGTGGCTTGATTTACAAAACCGCTGAATGCATCGAGTCATGTGCAAAGAGAGAGCAAATAGGCTTCATCTTCAGGAAGCAAATATTTTAGAACTAAAATTTCCATACCCAAATTTAATAGCTGAAAACCTTGAATGTTAGCTACGATACATTCAAACACATATGTTGATATAAATGACTGGTGTAGTGATGTGCAGGACCTGTTATTTGATATCGAATTTATATGGTAGTCATGTGCATGAGCATATACTCTTCGGCAGCTCGCAGCAAGACTTGTTTCTTGGCTTGTAACCTGTTTACAGTTTAGACTGGGTCAATGTAACAAACTGTGAAAAGAAAAGGTGGTTACATAGACAGGAAAGATGATAGAATCAACTAAAATAAATTTTTCAGCTGCATAAATTCCAGGAATTAGCTTAATAGTTCTAAATAATTAGAATATGTTTTCACAAGGTGCATAAATGAAACTGAGTTAAGTACAACTACCACAGGCAGGCGAAGCAAAGGAAGCCCGCCAGGTTTTAGAGCATTGCCATTTGAGAGAGATGGGCTCAGATAGCCCACGCCACCAGGACTACCATTTGCAGGAGCAGTTGAATGGTCCAAATTCATCTCAGATACCTTTTTTACCTTCTTTTCTTGGACCTACATATCAAGGATTAATATTCAAACTAACAAAAGATTGATTACGTACAACAATATTTCAATGTCTGGTGGTGCATCTTGCATTCTTATGTGCACACATGAGGACGATATACAAAGCACAGTTCAGCATTCCTTGGGATGAAATGGACAAAATTTGAACACCAGATACTTCAAGGAATATCAATGAGTAGCACATGAACATGCACTGTGCAGTTTCTAAAGTTTACAAAACATTCAAAGATGATCAGGGTTTCTAAGTTTACCACATGAATACAATTGAAGAAATCTAAAAAAAAAAGGTTATAAGGTACTTCCTAATTATTTAGTGCTGATGCTTACCTTCCAAAACTTTATTGTTTTGTCATTTGTGGATAGAAGAAACAATGCACCGTTTGCTGCTTGACACCACTTTATTTGGTTAATCTTCTCTTCAATTTCCAAGCTCTTAAGGTAATCAAACTAATTCCATAACAACATCACTTTGTCAAATTTTAAGTAATTCAGAAGACAAATAATACCACTTAACAATGCTTGCGAGAATATACCTCTGGTTCGTGGCTTTGAAATTCAGTTTTGTAGCGAAATTCGGGATGCCTGCTGATAGAATAATCAGCTTTCTCAGCATCTTTTCTACAGGCATGCTAAAGGGAAAAAAACAAACAAAATATGTTTAGCCATCTGAATACAGAGGGAAAAAATTTGCAGCGTTTGGTGTACAGTTCAATATGCATACATCTTTGACATCGGTCCTTTCAAATAAAACAACTCGTCCACCTCTGTCTCCAGTGGCAAGATGATGTCCTGATTCATTGAACTCTATTGCTGAGATGATGTCAACTGCAGAGAATGAAAGCAAGAAAAGGTCAAGTTAGTTTGCAGCTAAAATAAATGGCAATGGTCTATAATTGAACATACAAGAAACAGTGGGAAAACATGTACAGTAGCAGGCTATCATCCACTTATAATGGCTTTATTGAGACGCACAAAAATAAAATCAGCACTAAAAGCCAAGGCATAAACAAAGAAATGCTAGCATGACTAGCACTGTTTTAATCCGATAGTTCACAGTTGCCAACCAGTTTAACCCAAGAAGGAAAAAATATAAGAACATAAGGTTCAGCCTAAGAGAGGCAGAGAAGACCCGAAGTTGACTTGGGTAGAGGCAATAAAAGGAGACTTGAAAGGATGGAATATACCCAAAGACTTAGCCTTAGATAGGAGTGCTTGGAAGACAGCTATTCACGTGCCTGAACCTTGATTGCTTCTGCTGGGTTTCAACTCTAGCCTACCCCAACTTGTTTGGGACTTAAAGGCTTTGTTGTTGTTGTTGTTGTTGTTGTTGTTGTTGTAAGGTTCAGCCTAACTGAGATTACGTGAAGGTTATTAAAGTGAGTGATTCAGATGTGACTCTGAAGACAACCATAACTGAAAACAGGAGTTTCAAAACTATGCGGAGGAATTAGAGCATTCGCAAGGTTCAAAAATTTTACTAAATGCAGGCAATGGGCAACAAAGACCTTAATATAAAATTGGATCTACACAGAATTTGAAGGGGGCATTCTTCAAAAGGAGACTTTAGAACAGAACGATGGTAGACTTGGGAGCAACCATGTTACAGATAACATTTGGCAAAATTTAGAACAATTAGCTAAAGCCAAGTTAACATCCATGCAGGTGACGATGAGAAGGACACAAATAGCTAGTGCAGGTAGGGACTGACTCAACCAGAGTGTCGACTCATGCAAAATAGATGTACCAGTTACATGGTATCAAGCACAGGAATCAATAAAATAAGTTGGATCAGATCCTTGTAGAGATGTAGAGTTATCTGCAGTTTGGCTTCTTTGGTGCACTAATAGATGCTGCCTGCTGGTATAGCTAGAGACCAATTCAAGCAAAATGACATGCATGAATACAGAGTATCCATTAGATGTTTAATTTATGCCAATAAACCTACCAATAACATGGTACCAAGCACAGGAATCAAAGCAATAAGTGAATTATATGCAGTTTCGCTTCTTGGGTTCAGAGAGAGTGATTTGAGTGCAGTAAGCCCACTAAATAGGGTAGTAGAAAAAAATCGGCTATTGAAATAATACTAAAAGAATATTTTTTCCCCCAATATATGTCCATTGTTATCTGAATATTACATAACCTAAGACAACTGCACACCAGTGTGTGCTCGACACATCAATAGTGAAATAGCAACATGCATCCCAAAAATGATATTGCCGGTTGATGCATACAAGGCATGAATTCATTTTCCAGAATAATTCACTAGTCATTTTTTTTAAAACAATTCACTAGTCAATTCACATTGACAAAAACTGCCAGATAGTGACCATGTCCGATGCAGCATTCAACAACCCTACGTGTCACAAGCACTAGCATGTGCAGCATCGCCCCATTTTTTAAAAAACAATTCACTAGTCAATTCACATTGACAAAAACTGTCAGATAGTGACCATGTCCGATGCAGCATTCAACAACCCTAGGTGTCACAAGCACTAGCATGTGCAGCATCGCCCCACCTCGCCAAGTCAGAACTAGATGAACATGGATCCTATTTGTTCCACATATATATATAATGACAGCCAAGTATGGTCTGTGTAGCCAGCCAAATATGTAACTGCAACAGCATATAGTAGCAAGAAATCCCATCTACATCACTAAGCAATCCTCCTTGGAGTATGCATTCTACCCTTGTGCCATCTATGGATGGCCTCAGCTGCGCCACCGAATGGCACAGTGGTACTGGTACACATCTACCAGTCAAGACTATATTTGCACTGATCTGGAAGGCAGTAAATTCCGCATCCCTAGCACCAAAGCATCGAGATTTAGCGCATCCCGTCCGAAGCCACCACTGATTCCTGGGTCGATCTAAGCAGGACCCCACCAGCAGCGCCCATTCATGGCCCCTAGCCTCCGATCGAGTTCCGGGGCACAGAAGCACTAAGATCCAGCAGGTAGCAGCAACCAACGAGTGGCACAAAGGCGCAGGACATGGGAGTAGTAGGGAGAAGGGATCGATCGGTACCATCCTGGACTTCCTCCCCGGCGCTGCGCTCGCCGAACACCTGGGAGAACCTCCACTCGAGCGGCTGCGTCGGAGAGGGCGACGGCGGCGCCTGTGCCTGTGCCTGGGCCGGAGGCGGGGGCGAGGCTGAGGGCGAGCGCTCCGGTGCCGCAGCGCCGTTCATCGTCGTCGGGGCGGGATCGACTGCGGAGCGGGCGGGATCGGGGGGCTGGGGTGGGGGGGAGAGGGCGAGAGGGGCGGGCTACGCGGGCGCTGCTGCGGCGACGGCGATGCCGGCGAGGGTTTGGGGTTTCATGCGGGCGGAATGGCCAATGAGAGATGGAGAGAGGGAGGGAGGCAGCGAGATGGGGGAGAGGGAGGTGATGGTCAGGGCAGGGCAGCCGCGCCGATACGACAACGGAGAGGGAAGAAACCAAAACGATTTCTTTACCCTTTTTCCTCTCTTCTTGTTCTTTCAGCCCTTGTTTGCCTTGTGATAATTCCTTTTCTAGTCATCCTCCGGTGTCATTTCCGAGGGAGTTTGTTGCTCCGCTCCGCAGGGCTGGTTGCTTGTAATGGAAACAACACATCGCCACAAGGGTAAAAGATATTGGCTTATTGCATTGTCGTATCAGTTTGTAGCAACAAAAACACGCTGAAAATGTCTGCACCGTTCATTTTCGATCCAACTGTGATGCATAAACCGTTATAGTTTAGTGGAAGTTGGTAAAGCGACAGTACAGATTAGTTGATATCGTGACAGTAAGTAGGCCCGTGTGTACGGGGGACAACGATACCATGACGCTGTGTTCCTTGTCGTTTGCAGCGAGGAAAGCATTTCGTCATGGCTTTTGGATAAAGTATTGGCCGTTAATTAATGTAAGAATGGCTTACAAGCCGATTACAGCTGTCTGCACAGCAACATCTACCACATCTCTGACGAAAGGAGATAGCAATGCGTATGATAAGTAGGAAAAAATACCGACAGGATATACATCAATCCATTTCCTATACCGTAGAACGTCAGGTGCCCTTTGCCTGCCCTGCAATGAATCAAAAGGCCGAAGCTCTGTCTACTGCTTACACGATGACAGTAGATAACGATATACAACCTGTTCGCTTGCTCGTATACGATCGTAGATTATAAGCTGTAACAGTATTTTTCTCTCACACCAAACCAGCCAGCAGTAAATAATCCACGATTGTTTACGACGAAACGAATAGGCTGATAGTACAGCAAGAAAACAACAATGCAAACAGACCATTCTCCTAAAATCTTTTTTTTCTAAAACACGACTTCACATGTATTTCATTAAGAAGAAGCGTCACAAAGAGTTCACAACCATCCGTGGGCGAGATGCCTCGATGGAGCAAGGTACAAACCACCACGGGTGAAACAATAACGTACTACATGATGAATGATTTTGCGACAACTAGGAAAAGAACCCTAGGGCACCACCATGGCCACCAAGAACAACGAGAGTGCCGTAAAGCCCGCGGCGATCCACTCGTCCCCTTCCTCCAGCACCCTTCGTGCAGCCTAACACTACCAGGTGGCGATAATTCCTGACGGCCGTTGAATTTCGTGACGACTTTTATAAAACCATCAGGAATAAAGGGAACTCCTGTCGGTCCTAGAGAACCGACAGGAAACATCGGTAGAATTCCTGTCGGTTTTATAAAACCCTCATGAATTACATGTAGCCGTCAGGAAAAACGCTCTTGTTCCTTACGGTTAAACAAAACCGACTGGAATCGTTTCCCGTCGGCTGCCAGACCGACAGGAGACCCCCGGCGTCCAAAAGAGCGAAAATCACCCCGCACTCCCGCCCTCTTTTCGCGCCCTGAGCAATGCTTGGCGCCAAGAAATCCAGCGTTGTTTTGTGGGTCCACCCAAAGGGTTGCAATAGCATATAAAAGAAAACCCCAAAACCCTAAGGCCCAATCCCCCCTCCCTCCGACCGCCGCCGCTCACCTGGGCGACCCACGACCCGCGTCCAGCGAGACAGTCCGCGGCTCCGCGCGCGGCGTTCTCTTCCCCCAGCCCGCACTTCTCCCGTGGCCTCGACTCCCTCCGTAGTCCGCACATTCCCTCCCCCGGCATCTGACGCCGCTGCCTGGACGCCTGCATCTGACGCCGGCATCCCCTCGGCCTACACGTGTTGTCGCTGCCCCCTCCGCCTGCGCACGACGTCGCGACCCCCTCTGCCTGCAACGGGACGCCGCCGTCCCCTCCGCCTGCAACGGTACGACGCCAACCTCTCCGCCTGCCTGCGACGCCGCTGCCCCCTCCTAAACTTTGCTTCGTTTACTATTTCTGAATATCCGAATATACATGTATATTTATTTATTTATTTTGACAAAATTGCTCACAAAGCATAAAATTTATTTGTCACTGACCCTCTCTTATGTTAATCCTGATATATAATGTATATTTTCTCTAAAATTAGAATGTGCATGTTATCTATTTTCCAGATGTCTTCTTAAAGTAGTATGTTCCCTTTAAGGAAGACACGGGGTCACTGTCATTCAATGCTTGTATGCTACTGTTTTTTTATAGCAGATTATTGCTTGTCCTAGGCTTCATGAAAGCGATGCTGATAAGATCATAGTGAAATGATTGCCTCTTCTTGGTAGCTATTACGTGACATTTTTATGGTCTCTGGCATTTTGCATCTGAATTATAGTCCTGCTACTTGCCATCCTTATTTCTAGGACAAGACTGCTCTTTTCTCAGACAAATTATTAGTAATTGCCATGTTCTATAGAGCAGGCAAGACTGACTCTGTTGGCTAGAGCATTGCATATATTTATCTTGTTTATATAAGTAAGTTGTAGTTACTTAATTGGAACTAAAATTAATAGCATAACTTGTTATTATGCTTAAGGCCTTGAGTTGTGATGTGTTGTCTTTAGTGTTAGAATCACTCATCATTGTAAGTTCATCTTCTTGCAGGGTATTGAGTCATCTCATGCTGGGAATATCATGCCTGGTTGTCATGAGACCAATAGCATCGAAGACAATGAAGGCAACACTAACATGGAATGAGATGAAGGGCCAATGAAGGCCTCTTTTGTGCAGTGACACTTAACTATAGCTTTTGTGCAGTGACTGACTGCTGCTTTGAACTCTATATATGTAGCTTTGAACTCTATGTATGTGGGATCTGGACTTGTGTAGTTGGCATGCAGCTTTGAACTCTCTCTCTATATATATGTAGGAGCTGGACTTGTAGTGTTGTTGAATCAACCAGTACGAATCTGAACTTGTGAACAAGTCTGTGTATTTGTTGAACTGGTGAACAAGTCTGCAATGAAATATGCTATTAAATTCATCTCTGTAATGACTAATGCAGTAAGTCAGCAATGCAATGGGCTATTAAATTAATCTTTGTAATGTCTAATGCATATCTAATTCCTGACATTTTTTCCTGACGGTACGGCGATAGGAAATAATTATGAAATTCAGTTGATGGTTGTTTCCTAACGGTTTTCCAACACGAATAAACATTGAGTCCCTGTCGACGGTCGATTTTCCTTGACGGCTATGCGACAAGAATTCATTGTAAATTCCTCTCGGTCTTGAATTCCTGACGGAAGTTCCTGTCGGACGAACTGACAGCAAACACCTTTGACTGGTCAACTGAGAACCGTCAGGAATATACTGACAGGAAAAGTTTCCTGATGGTTAGCCATCAGGAATTATGGATTTTTCCTGTCGAGACGTTCCTGTCGGCTGGCCGACGGGAATACTATTACTGACGGCATTTCGCTCATTCCTGACGGTTTTTAGCCGTCAGGAATTCTCCTCAGCCTGGTAGTGTGAGCCGCCGTGCAGGCCACATTGTCGAAGACACGGGAGTTGCGTTCCTTCCACAGCCGCCAAAAGACGAGAAGCACTGCTGAGTCAAACCCCTTGCGCAGTTCTTTAAGCACATTCTCCTAAAATCTTTAGTGCTATCTTTATCTCGAGTGACTTTCTTCTAAGTGTTCCTCCTCGACACAAAGCTTTTTTAGCAATTGGTGTCAAAGGGGGATATGAGCGAACTGACCATAGATCGGCTCTTTGGGTTCTTTGTGGTGGAATCTGTTCACTTGGGTTTAAGTCCTTGACTTGACAAGGGTGCTCGCGTTTTTCTGGATTTATTCTAGGATTTAACGGCGCTATGCTTTCAGTGGTAGGCGACGTCCCCATCGACAGCGAGACACCTGTGGTGACTTCGTGAATCTCGTGATCTACCGGCTCAGTCCTTCGAATGTACTTATAGGGGTAGGGTTAGCATACGTGTGCTCATAGGGATGAGTGTGCGTGCGTGTTATGGGTGTCTACGTTGTACTGTGTAATTCTCAAAAAAAGGATATGATACAAAGAAGAAAAGGAAATTAGAATTGACCAAAGGAGAGAGAATGGTACAAAGCAAAAAAAAAGGTGAAGAGAGTAAAATAAGATTAGAAGATTAAAGGGGAGCAAAATTTTCATCTCAAGATGCATCCATCAAAGGTGTGTGTGGGGGGGAGGGGGTTCAAGGCTCATGGGCATATGTTTGTTTATGCATTTGTTTGAGCATTGCATATGGTTGCTTGCATTGCACTTAATTATGTGATAAATGTTTTTTTGTCGTGCTTTGCTATAACATGCAAGCGACGAGCATTAGGAAAAAGATGTTAGATCCTTTTATGATCTAACACGCTTTCTAGTGGTGTTCTAGCTTAAATGGTGGTACTAAGGATGTATTCACACTTGGGAACGGCTTCGGTACCTCCTTTTTCTAAAAATGGCATGAATTCCAAAGCAACAAATTAAAGAAATAAATTATTTAATATTATTTAACAACTAGGGCCCGCCTGGCCTAGCCCGTCCAAGCCCAGCCCCGAGTCCAGCCCGTTCACTCTGCTCTGTTAATTCGTCGGAGACGGCGTCGCGAGCAGCAGACGCTCACTACTACTCCTCCCCTCCCCCGATCCTATTTTGTCGTGCTTTGCGGCAAGGAGCTTAATTCGGCGGCGTTGCTGTCGCCATTGAGGATGAAGATGCTAGGCCACCGGGCGAGGGAGGTGCCCACGCTTGGCTCGCCGCCGTGGGAGGCGACCGCCCGCACCCCACCATGACACCAGCCGCAAGAAGCACCCGTCCGCGCCACTGGCGGATGGAGCTCCGGCGCCTGCTTCTATCCTCCAATTCGT